GGGGTGCCCCCTCCACCCAATGACCCTATTTTATATTTGGGAAAACCAAGGCTCAGAGAAGGTTAGTGCTTACCTGAGATCACACAGCCAGGAGATACCAAAACTGAGATTCAGAGATAGAGCTCTTTCCCCTGTACCTGATGCGTCTTCCTAACAGTCCCTGCCCTCCTTTCTAAAGCCTGAAACTCCTCTCCCAACACTTCCTTCTTTTTTTTTTTTTAAGATTTTTTATTTATTTATCTTTAGAGGGGAAGGGAAGGAGAGAGGGAGAGAAACATCAATGTATGGTTGCCTCTAGTGCTTCCCCTGCTGGGAAATAGCCTGCAGGGAACTGGCCTGCAACCCAGGCATGTGCCCTGACTGGGAATCGAATGGCGATCCTCTGGTTCGCAGGCCTGCGCTCAATCCACTGAGCTGCACCACCCGGGGCCCCAATACTTCCTTCTTTTACTGAAAGACCTACTTCCTTCTGGGATTAAAATCTTTCTAGTTATGCACACTATATCGTGTGCTCTCCAGAGAGCAAGGTTCTTTGGAGTGAGCCAGAGAAAGAAGAAAAGGCAGCCCACCTTGGTCAGGTACAAAGGGAAATTGCCACCATAGTTTTCTGGGACTTCCACATACAGCTCTGCAGACTGGGCCTTGGGAAGAGCCTGTGGGAAGATTTTCATCTTGTCACCAGGCTCTGCCTTCCTGCCATGGCACTGGGGACCTCACAGGGTGGGGAATTTCTGCCTGTTCCCTGGACCTAGCCGTACCTTAGTGAATCCACCCTCATGATCCCACAACAGGTTTACAGCCAGCTCTGCCCCCAACTACTACCACCCATGGTCAATATAACTGGTCAAGGTGGAGAGGGGAGCAAGGTTGCCAACCCCCAAAGCCAGGATCTGAAGCGGGGAGCAGGGCCCAGCTCACCTGGGGGATGGAGAGGCAAAGCAGCCACAACCAGGCAGGGACCATGGTCAGGATGGGCCTGAGGGACACGGCAGTGAGCATCCAGCCCAGACTGGTGGGCAGGAGGTCCCTCCCACCACCCTTCCCCTAGGGAGTATCCCTCTTCTCATCCTCACGCAGCCCCAGGCCTTGGCTCCCCCAAGCCCCGTGGGGTGTAACTGTCTCTCCTTCAGCTGAACCTCCTGCTGCTTAGTCACTATGGGGCTGGCAGTGAGACCCCCTCCTGTCCCCTGTCCTCCTATGCTGCCCCAGCAACTCTCAGAACTGCCCCTCCCCATCCCACGGAAGTGAACACCGCCACCACCCTCCTCCCCTTGTCCTCTGCCCAGCTCCTTCCAAACACATAGACGGGAGGGACCTGATGACAGACTGGCCTCCTCTTCCTCCCCTTTGAAGGGCCCGTGGCTCCCCATTCCTTGCAGGGCAGCGTCTAGCTGTTCAGCCAGGCCCGCCAAGCCCCCTAGGCCCGGCCACCCTGCTGCTCCTTAGTTGTTGCCCCCATAAGGATCTCCACAGGAGTTTCACCTTCAGACCTTGTCTCCTCCCCCCACCCCAAGCCTCTCCAAATCAAGGACCCCAAAGTGGTAATTTCCCAGCAGCCCTGAAAAATCACAAAAATTTAGAAAGACCCTGATGACTCTGAGGGTCAGTTCATACAATTGCCTCCAGTTGTAGCAAGCCTGAAGGACGGGGCCTGACCAAGGTCACAGAGGATTCATTAACCACAGGCGAATTCTTCCTGGAACAGAGGACTCTTGGTTCAGGGTCTGCGGGACTGTTCTTCCTCCCACGGCCATCCTGGAGACTTGGAGTCTCCTCAGGGCAGGAGCCCTGCCCTCATCTCAGCATTTTCTAGCCCTCAGCGTGGACCTGGGCACACAGAGCGTGGACAACCTCGCCTATCTTCCCTAGATGATGGGGGGACAGGGCAGTGTTCCTCCTCCCCCCTCCACCGTCCCCACCTCGGCCCTGCCCACCCCCCACCCTCCACTCCCAGCCCTTCACCTGCTGGTGCCGAAGCCCTGGCTCCCTTGGTCCAGCTGCCAGGTGAGAAGGCTTTTTTCTCCAAGGAGTGCTGGCTGGACCGGCTGGGTGGAGTAGGGCAGGGCGGACACTTGAGCAGGAAGGGCGGACACTTGAGCAGGTAGGCGGGCCCGCCACGCTTGCTCAGGAGTAGAAAACACCACTGGGCCCACAGCAGCGTGCCTGGCCCTGCCCAGCCCCCCAAGTTACTCATTGACTTTGGAAAGCTGGGGGCTGCTCAGCATCTGTCACTGCCAGCCCCAGGAGGTGGGGAGATCTTTGGCCTGCACTCCTCCCATCCCTACACAGCCCAGGGGGCACTTCTTGGCCCCCTGGGCTTGGACGGTGCAGTCTGCAGATTCAGCCAGCCGTAGGTGGACAATATTCGAAAAAGAAATCGTGAAGTTATTGTTGACGTGCAGTTAGGCCTGCGGTGGGTGTGTCTTCCTGAACATGCAGGGACTATTTTTCTTGCGATTATTCCTCCAACACTAGGAGTATAACAGCTCTTTATGCAGCACTCACATTGTGTTAGGTTATGTAAGATGATTTAAGTATTAGGTATTATAAGATTGGGTGTTATGAGATGATTATAAAATATATTAGAAGTTATGGAGATCACTTAGAGTGTTCAGGAGGATGCACATAGGTTGTATGCAAATACTACGCCACTTATAGAAAGGACTTGAGCATCCACGGATCTTGATATCTGTGAGGGTCCTGCAACCAATCCCCTGTGGATGTGGAGGGATGACTGCTTTTTGAGTGACTCCACCCTCCACCCTACGTCTGCCCCACGCACAGCACCTGCAGCTCCACCTTGGCCTGCTCCGTTCCTTTTGTCTGGATGCCATTCCCACCCCTTCATGTGTCTGGGGAGCCCCTGCTCAGGCGTCAGTACTCAGCTCATAGTCCCTTCTCCAGGAAACCTCCCCTGGGCTCCCAGTCTCGTTCAAGGTTCTGCTTTGGAAACACCTCCCCGTTCCATGCTGGGTGCTCTCTCTGTCAGTGCAGAGAGGACACCAGATATTTATGGTCTGTCTCTTCCATCAGACTGTGAGCCCCTTCTGGGCAGCACTCAGGGACCCAGGGGACCTGGCCCTTGCCCAGCCTCGGCTGCTCCTGTCTGTCTCGTGGACCTAAGACAAGGAGCTGGAGGCTGTATGTGAAGGACAGCTGAGCGGTGCATGGCCTGTACTAGGCATCCAGGACTCCAGACCACCTACCGGTGGGGTGGGACAGTGGGTGGGGCACAGTGGCCCGTGAGACTCCTTGAGGTTCCCTAAGTGCTCACAGTAGCCCCTGGACACTGAAAGGGCTGAGACAATAGACTGCTTCCTGCCTCTGAGTAGGACAGAGAAGACAAAATCAGTTCAGGTGACCTTGAGAGAATCGCCAGGCTGACCAGGGGCCTTTCCCCCAGTGAGGGCAGCCAAGCAGAGCCAAGAGAAGCTCCTGGATCCTGGGAGTCCAGAACAAGGGGGCAGGGTGGGAAGGGTCACAAGGTCTCTAGTCTCTCCTTGTCCTCAGAGCTTCCCATGGTCTTCCCTGGGTCCTTCCCACTGCATGTCTGGTTAGGTTCTCTCTGGCCGGGGGCTGCACCGGAAACCCTCAGCTGCACCCGGCCTCATCTGTCACAGGCTGAGTTGCCTACTCAGCATCACTCAGACATCCTGGGCACCCCAGCCTAGAGCAGTGCAGCGTGGGGATGTTGAGACATCTCATGTGCACTAAACCTCTACTACGTGCCTGCTCTAAGTACATAACTGCATTATTCCACTCTGTTCTGAAGAGGACACCATCCCCAGGTCACACACTGGGGCACAGAGAGGTTGAATGGCTTGCCAAGGGTCACACAGTCAGTAAGTGGCAGAACCAGGAAGATTTGGGTTGGATCCTTCTTCAGGCCTTGGGACCTTCACTTGCTGAGAAAACCATGCCTTCCATGTGCCTTGAAGTATGTTGGGGTGGGAGGTGCAGCAGAAGCTTTGAACAGTTGACACTGTCCTGGGGGGCATGTGGGTTAGTCCCAGAGGTCACATACACTGAGGAGCAGCCTTCAAACCTCCTCCTGTCGTTGAACAATGGCATCGAGACTTGAGCCAGGGTGCAAAGGCTCCCCGTGGAAGGAATAAATTGAACTAATGAAGGAATATATGAACCCTAGCCTGGAACTTTCTCAGAAACTCTCCAACCTTGTGCCGGGCCGTGCCCAAGCTCCGGAGACTGTCCTTGCTCAGCCTGTGGGGGGCGGGGGGACAAGCCCTTTAGCTCCCTATCTGCCATTGCTGAATGGGGACGCTTGTTCTTGAAACAACATTCGTAAAGCAGGCACCTGTGCCCACAAGGGTTCCCCTTCCTGAGTGTGAGTGATGCGGAGACGCACGCCTCCATTGGTGAACGTGCACATGTTCCCACACAGATGCGAGGCCTCTCATTCCAGACAAGGAGGGGTCCAGGGACCTGTTCCCCCAATACCACCTTAGCCAGCAGGGAGGTGGAGAGCCGCTCAGAGTTAAGTCCACAGGATATGCCTTCCTCACTCCATCCTTAACAAGCAAAGGAGTCTTGACGTCTTCTCCAACCACCCCACCCAAGGGGGTTTCCAGCCCCTCTGGAGGAAGCAAGGCAGAGACACCAGCCAGAGGGCCGAATCCAGGGTTCCTGTTTGGCCATGAGACAAGGAGCAAGGCATGGTCTCTCGGGCTGCCTCAGTTTTCCTTATACACAGTGGGGTGATTGAACCCTCAACCAGCTGGGCAATGCCAGGCCCTAGCGCAGGAAAAGAATCTGGGTAACACCTGGGAGAGGTTTATGTCTCCCACTGCTGCTGGGACCCCCCAGCCATGCCCCAAGCCATTCCTGCCCCCTCTGGCTCAGCTGGCTGTATCTGGGCCCCAACATTCAGATAGTCAAGGCCACATACCAGGGTGGGGCAGGGAGTCTCCATCCCTCAACTCCGAAAACACTGCCTGCTCCTGCAGTGCCCAGCCCCATGAGGAAACACAGAGTCCACAGCCTTGACCTATCAACAAATAGACTTTATTACAAAAATCTGCCTGTAAACAAATCGCCACTGCACTGGACAGCCACCCTCCGGGGCATGCACATGGGGCTGGAGAGAAAGGCAGAATCCTCTCCCCACACACAGCCCTGTCCCATGAGCTGACCTCCAGCTGCTGCTTGGGACTCACGTGGGCCGGCCTAAGCACCTCTTTGGGCCCTGCCCTCAATGGCCAGTGGAAGCCACCTCCCCGGGCAGCACTGCCTGCCTGTGGCCATGAGGTGGGGGACACCCGAGTCTGAGCCAGCCCCGAGGCCCCCCTAGGGCAGTTGCTGGGCCAGCCCACCAATCTGCCCAACTGTCTGCACAACACCGTACATGGCCTTGAGGCCTAGAGCACTGAAAGGTCGTGGCAAGACTTGGACTTGGCACGAAAGGCCATCTTGCGGCTGTTGCGAGCTACGATGCGGCCCAGGAAGCGCTTCGCCTTCTTGCCAAGGCTTTCTCGCCGCCGGGTACCTGCTTGCCGACGTGCATTGGCCTCTTTGCTGTCCCTGCGCAGGCGTATCTGGCGCACGATTCCCTCAAACAGCGCCTGGACGTTGTGGTGGAGCGCAGCCGAGGTCTCAATAAACTTGCAGTCAAAAACCACTGCACAGGCCCGGCCCTCTGGTGAATGGGGAGAAGAACACACCAGTAACAAAGCGGGATGGTGAAGAGTCCACTCAAATCCTGACCACCCCATGACATCTGCTACTCAGGAATCTGTGGGTAAGGGACAGTGGACCGCTGGGTCCTCTGCAGAAACAGAGACCCCAGTTCCTGTATGGAGGGTCCCAGGCGTTGCTGGTCACCCAACCAAGTGTTCAAGTTTAAAGAGCTCACAAAGTCCCGCAAAAGGAGATTCATTTATTGAAATAATTTGAAGTCTGACCTGTAAATGGAAGCACCCAGGTAGTCATCACAGGAATATGAGAACTCTTTTGGGTAGCTTAGTGAATTATGGTTTGATGTTATATCATGATGAATGACCAGTGGAATGGTGGGAATGTAACCAAGTCCTGCTTGGCACCTCTGAGAGGCTCAGTTCTGGGGCCACAGAGTAGGACACTGAGCCCAAGAAGGGAGGGCCTTCCCCAGAGGCAAGCCTACTTTGAGACTGGCCCAGGCCTGGGATCCAGGTTCTGACCTCCTGGCCTGGTTCCATGCACTGTCTTCAGCCCTCATCTGTCAGGTCAGGGCCACAGAGGGCGAGAGGACCCTGAGGCGACCCAGCAGCCCTCCCAGCACACTTGGTCCTTTCCCCAGCACTCTCGGGTTTTGGAAGTCCCGTGGGAGGAAGCTCTCCCCTCCCCCTCCAAGTTTTCTTCCTGGACATTTTTAGCCACTGATGACCATCCCCAGGGACTCAGGCTGAGTCAAGACTGAGCTGACCACAGCCCAGCCAGGATCCCCCTCCCTTTCTGACCTACACTCTACTCACCATCCAAGGAGACCTCACGAGAGCGCACCAGGTCACTCTTGTTGCCCACCAGGATGATGGGTACGTCTTCTGTCTGCCGTGCCCGCCGCAGCTGGACCCGAAGCTCTGAGGCCTTCTCGAAGCTGCCCTTGTCTGTCACTGAGTACACGATGACGTATGCATCCCCCATGGCCATGCAGTGGCCAGGTAGCCAGTGGCCCCCATCCTAAAGAACACATACACACACATCTACACAACAGGCCTCAGGCCCCAGCTATAAGGATGTCACTCCCAGCAGGCCCCGGCTCCCAGCTCACCGCTCCCACCCTGCCCTGGGTCTCAGCCTGCAACCTACCTGCTCCCAAATATCATAGACCATGAGCGATGCCTCTTCTCCATCCACCATGATGGAGCGATCATACGTGTGCCCTAGACGGGAGACCAGTCGTTAGGTTACTTGCTGGCTGCCAAAAGCCTCCCCCCGCCCCCACCACACACACACCAGCTTTCCTATTCTGGCCATACTCCTCAACTCCTCCCCAGAGCCACCCTCCCACCTCCAAACCTTCCTGTCCACTGCTGGCTGTTAGGGGGCAACAGAAGTGATGGGGGTGGGAGTGGGGTGGAGGGCAGCTGTGCCTGGGCTCCACCTAGAGACGCCTTCCCCAAACTACCAGCGTCCTGGGTGGCCAGTCCTGTGCTCCCTGCCCACCTGTTGCCTGAGTCCCAGGGTGGCTCTGACCACGGTGGCCTGATTTAGAATAATGACAGTCACATCCTCTGCAGGTCTCGATCACCTGAGATGCCTTTCCTAGAACCCCCCTCGGGCTTTGTTCCTGTCTGCCCTGCAGGAAGGGGTGTCCTGTCCCCGTCCTAGAGTAGTCATATGTATGCCCTGGGCCTTCTACTCAGCATTTCTTCCTCTGCAAAGGGTCCCTACTCCTTTAATTTCCTCAACTGTTCACCGTTGAGGTAGATACAGGCATGTTTCTGAAAGTGCCTTCAGAATCCCTTGCTATTTGCTGCTTTTATCCCAGGTCCCCACCCCTGTAGCCCCTACCTAGTCCTAACCCTGGGATCTCCCCTCCTTTGAATAGTCCCAGCCCCCTTACCTGTGGCCTCGGCTTCAGGCCCATCCTCTAAACCACCGAAGATACGCGCCAGAGCGCTCTTGCCCACGCCAGGCGCCCCCAGCAACAGCACTTTGTAAACACTCTCATCTGAGTCGCTGCCCCCTGAGCTAAGCGAATCAGAGGAGCTCTCTGGCCAGTCCAGCCTCGGACCCTGGGTCCGAGTCCCCGCTGCCGCAGCCGTTGCCAAAGCGCTGGGAGCTAGCGCCGCCTGCAGGTCGCGCTCGTCCACCGGCATGCTCCGGCGGTGGAGCGGAGGTGCTGAGCCCCAGGGGGTGCTGCCCCGACGGCGCTCGCGCTCCCGGCGGCTCCCTCCTGCTCCGCCGCCATTTAGAGTCATCGTGTTGGAAGCCGTCTGGGGAAGAATTGGGATGGCTCTTAAGCCACGGTGGGGATGGAGAGAAAGGCTGGACCCCGGGCGCGCCTGTGGACCGACGACCTGCAGGGGTCCCATCTCAGTTGTGAAGGTCTTTGCGCCCTGATTTGAGTCCCATCCGCCTGACTCGTCCATCGGCAACCCTGATGGTGCGACCACCCCCATCCCGTTCAGACAGGACACTCACCCACTCGCACACAGACACGGTCTGGACTAGGTCCCGTGCTCGGATCGCAGACCCAGGCTAAGCTACTCGATGCTCTCACAGAGGCTGCCTTCTCTGTCCGCACTGGGTCGGGGCTCCAAGAGCCGCCTATTTAAGCCTCTGCCCGCCCCCGCACTCGCCCCCGTCTACGCTGAGGCCGGGGCTGACGTGTCTGTCCCCCCTCCCCCCAGGAGGGATCCCACACCCTCCCCCTAGGACCTCACACCCACCGAGACCCCGCCCCATCCTCTTGGGCGGAGCAAGGCAGACTGGCAGACTAAGGGGGGGGGGGGCTGTCTGATTCGTGTGTGTGTGTGTGTGTGTGTGTGTGTGTGTGTGTGTGTGTGTGTGTGTGTGTTTTGTCTGGGAGGCTCCGAAGAAGGGAGAAGGAAGGGGAGTGCGTGAATGGGGAGGGGAGGTGGGAGGGTGCCAACATAGGTGGAGGCAAGGACCAACCAAAGGAGCCGGCTTTCCTCTGAAGAAGAATTAGGTCTGGCCCTTTAATAAGTAAATTCTCCTTTCCCTCCTTGCCAGGTCCTGGCCTGTTGCCCAAGCAAGCAGAACATTTACAGGCTGGACAGACTTCACCCTTCCTCTGTCCGCTGACACCCACTCCCCACTGACGCACGTCTGAGCCAGAATTTAGGGGTCCTAAATCAGGCTTCTAGTCTCAAATCCAAGTTCTTCCCACTCCCCTCCTTGCCATGGGGAGCTAAAGTTTCTAGCTGGTGAACCTGCCCTTCAGGATTAGGGTTAATGTCACCCCATGAGCCTCTGGGGGCCCTTGAAGAGCTGTTTTGGGGGAGCGGGCAAGGAAGGGAGGTCCTCCGGCAGTGTGCTGCAGGAAGAGGTGCCAGCTTCAATCCTGGGGAGGGGACCCCAGCCCCGAGAAGGGAAAGGATGAACTCCGCACCACCTCACCCCCCCCCATCCTCCACACAGCTGCCAGCAACTCTGCTAAAAATACCTGGCCCTGGCCCTGGTCATTCTGCTTCTGGGCTGGACGTTGCCCAAAGTGGGGGACATCCTGGCAGTCAGGCATCAGATGCCAGCAGGAGCAGAGCAAGGTGGACCTGGACCAGGAGCTGGATCGGGCTGCATCCAGCCGCTTTAAGAGCCTTCAGTGTCTGCCTGCTTCCCTCTGGACCCGGTCTGGACCTGCTTGTTCAGGGCACACACAAGGCCTGGAGGTTCAGATTCCCACCCAGGAGGCACACAGATGAGGGGGGGTTGAGGGGAGCCCTTAGCCACCACTTTTTGTCACCACTTCCCAGAGCTCTCTCCTTCTTCAGACCTAGGGTGGCTGCGGGCACACAGAGGGGAGGTGTAATGAGAAGGTTTTGTCTCTAGTCCTGGCACTGCCTCCTTGTTCCTGAGTTTTGCCTCCATCCCCGACTCTGAGTGTACAGCAATAAACTGGGGATGTATGAGCTGTCCCGCCCTGCTTGTATATCTGGAGTGTGTGAGGGTTGGGGGTAGGCAGGCTGTGAGGTACTTTGTGACAGGGGCCTACTATCAGACTCTGACATTTGGTTGTGACAAGTGTGGCAGGAGTGGGGGCACCATTCAGGGCTCAGGTGACATCATAGATGGAAGGATCCTGGTGGGCTGTTGTATGTTGTCATGGAGACCTAGTAGGGCTCTCTGGCTGCTGCATCAGTTTCCTTGGCAACATCTGAGAGGGCCTTGGAGTAAGGAGGGCCTGGCTAAGTAAGTGTTAGGGGGCTCCTGCAGACCCCTCTCATTCTTGAGGTCTCCAAAGTAGGCGAAGGCTGGACTGTGGGACGGCCTGTCCATTTGTGTTCTTCATGTGGCCTGGAGGGTCTTGGAGGCTTGGGCAAGTCCACGCTGGCTCTGGCTTCCTGGACGAGGTCCAGTGGGAAGAAGGAGTCCAAGGGTCAAGCCTTGTGTCAGAGGATACAAGTCCCCGGAGCCAGCAAACTGCTTCCCATCAGGATCCTGGCTGGGCCACTCATGGCCCCTCCAATCCACATGACTTTACCGTTAAAAAGAGCACCTGGATATCTGACAGAGGGCTGGAAAGTAGGGGGGGTACCTGTGGGTCTTCCCAGCAGGGAGCCATGCAAGGAATTGGGGCTGGGTTTCCCCTCTGGTAATCTGAGCTCTTGGCCTCCCCACTGTTTCTTCATTGCCAGGGGAACTGCGTCCACACTGGGCCACTCAGTCACCAGGCATTCTCCGGCAGCCAGAAACACTCACCTCTAGCCAAGGTACGGCCAGGAGCCCCGGGACCCCAGACCAGGACTCGACCTTCAGACACCCCTTACCCCCACCCCACTGGGCCTCTCACCTTTCTGGACAGCCTGACCTTCAAATCCCAGTTCTGCCCCTCAATAGCTGCTTCATCTCTGCCCATTTATCTTGGCTGTGCCTCCATTTCCTCCAGTGTAAAACAGGGATAATGCCTTCCTGGGGGGTATTTATAAGATATAAATAAAGTAGTTGGCACATGTCTGCCGTATAGTATCTCCCTGTGAACACTTTTGTTTTTCATGCTTGGTTGGACAGGACAGGTCTGAGTGAATCCGTGGGCCCTGTCCTGCTTCTTTCCTGCTTCTGCTCTGTCCTCAACTGCCACTTCTCTCTCCCCCCATACCCACTGTCCTTCCGTGGGACCCCACACCCTTCCTCCTCCTTTTGGTAGTGACCTGTTGCAAGGGGGACTTGGTTGGGTTTCAGTAGCCTCATCTCCTCTCACACAACAGCCCCACACCCTGGTTCCTCTGTTCTGTTCTGAGGCTCCATTCATTTATTCCGCTGCCCCCTACTGAGTACCTCTATGTGTCCCAGACCCTCGTGCTGTGGGCATGACAGGCAAAAGTCCACATAGCTGAGCATGTTCACACGTGTCATCTCGTCCCTGGGTCATTCTCACTTAACCAGGATTTGTTGTTCCCATTTCGTAGACATGGTAACCGGGGTCTGAGAAGTCATAGGCCAGAAACAGCAGAGCCAGACGCACCTGGTAAAAGGCTTTAGGGACCTCGGACTTCACCCCCCTCCACCCTGTACCCATGTCCTCAGACAACAGCTGGGTTCCAGAAAGTTCCCTGGGCACTAGCCCAGGATCCACAGATGGTGTCCCTGCAGGCAGCCAGGGACCAGGCACAGATGAGTCAAGACTGACAAGGGGACTATCTGAGATGCCAGCTGTGACATGATCAGCTTGATATCCCTCAGCCACCATGGCCTTGACTGCCAGGAGGGCCAGCTGAATGACTCAGTGACACCTGCCTCCCCCATGACCTCCCAAACCCAGCTGAACACACTCATTCACAGGGGTGTCCAACCTGCGGTCCACTGTTGAGCTGTGAATACGGCCCAACACAGAACTGTAAATTTACCTAAAACATGAGATTTTTTTGTGAGTACGCATTGCAATGTATTTAATGTGTGGCCCAAGACAACTCCTCTTCTTCCAGTGTGGTGCAGACATGCCAAAAGGCTCCATGCCCTGGAGAAACCAGGGCTGCCGGCGCAGAGCTTACAGCCAGGTATTGGTGGTTGGGAAGGCTCCCTGGCGCCTGAGGGGCCCCGGCTGGTCGCCCAGCCTCTCTCTCGGGAGCACAAAGCTTCTCCATCTGTGGAAATGGGGGAGTGAGGGGTACATGACTGGAAGACCACCTGAAATGAGCCCAGATCCATTTTAAATCTCCACAGAGCAGTCCCAAGCAATTGCCATGACTATCCCCACGTTACACATGAAGAAACTGGGTGACACATGCTGGTGACTTCACCTCTCTGGGCTTTGGCAGTCAGATCTTGGTCACTAGGCGACCAAGCCGCTCCCTCCTGGAGTTGGGGGTTGGGGGTGCTCAGAGGCCTTTCCATCCAGGCAACAGTGCCCCCTGCCAGCTGTGCCATACCAGCTAAAATGCTTAGGTTCCTCTCTACTCCCTAGCTGAAGATATTGGGGAGTAAATTACTTACTCTAGAAGCTCATTTCTTCACCTGCAAAATAGGGATAATAAAGAATAGCAACTGTCACACCGAGCTGGATGGAGAATTGCCCAACTAGTTAGTGTCTGTAGAGCTCCTCAGGCTCAATGTTGTCGGCCGGCCCTCAAGAACAGGTTTGCCAAAAGCCCAGGCTCCCTGCTGAGGCCTCTGGAGGTCTCTGCCCAGTCCCATCTGAGCCTCAGCAGGGATGCGGCAGGCAGGGCAAAGCGGCTACTTATCCGCAGAGGAAGACACCAAACCAGGGAATCAGGCATTACAGCTCCTAACTGGCTGATCCGCAGTCTTCCAGGGTCTGTCCAGGTGACCAACTGTGCTCTGGTCACAGTACTAGGGGAAGCAGAGGCCCCAGACCCGAGCACCTGGAGTGACTCACACCTCCTTGGGGGCTGGTGGAGAAGGTGCTTGAGCTTCCTTTCAACAGAGAAATCTGTCATCACTGCCCTGACCAGGGGACTAGACTGAGGGTCACCAACAGTGAGACAAGTTGGCATCGCACACCTACTGGTGGATGTGAAAGGGTACATACAGTACCCATGAACTCCAATCTGAACTCAACCTACCTCTAGTTTACAGGAAACACAGCAGACAAAGGAATAAATTAGACTGTGGTGCTTCTCCAGCACAACTCACCTGGACTTTAAAAAAAAGTCACTGGCAAAAAAGAAAAAGGAAGGGGTTGGGAAGAAGAGAGACAGCAACCAAATGCAAATACCTGAACCCTGATTGGAGCCTGATTAAAAAAACAATTGTCAATGATGTTTTTGAGAAATTCATGACAGGATATTAGACGATGTGAATTGTTCATTTTTTTAAAAGATTTTATTTACTTATTTTTAGAGGGGAAGGGAGAGGGAAACATCCATGTGTGGTTGCCTCTTGAGCGTCCCCTATTGAGGACCTGGCCCATAACCCAGGCATGTGTCCTGACCAGGAATCAAACCAGTGACCCTTTGGTTCAGAGACCAGCACTCAATCCACTGAGCCACACCAGCCAGGGCTAGAATTGTTCTTTTTTTTTTTTTTTTGCCATATAACAGTACTGTACTTATACAGGCTTACTCTTAGGAAACACAGGATGAAATACTACTTAGACATAAAGGGTCCCATGTCTGCAGATTACTGTTAAATGTATTTATATTATACACACGCATAAATAAAGCCAATGCTGCAACATACTAGCAACTGTTGAATCCAGGTGGTAGTATATGAATGTGTTCACTACACTACTCTTTCCAATTTCGGGGTATACTAGCAACTTTTCCTAATCAAACCGTTGGGGAAATTTTTTTTAATGAAATGCATCTCATTAAATGACCTGGCCAGTATTTAGGTACTCACTATGAACACCCCCGCCCCCCGCCAAACCCCGAGAGACTCGGAAATAAAAGACTCTAAGGCATGCTGGAACATGAATATAAATTAAGGGTTTATTACAAAATGCAAAGCGTTAGCTTCTCATTGTCAGTGGGTCAAGAAAACAAGGCAATGAGCCCTGGGTGAGGCTAGGGATGAAAAGCTAGTCTCAGGAGCGTGCTGACAGGCACTGGTTCACAACCTCCAGAAGGTGGGTGTTCTCCAGGGCAGCTGCCACCCGCTCCTTATCTGCAAGTTGCTTGTTCACTGGATGGGAAGGAGGGAGTGATAAAATATATATACCTCCACCAACGAAGCACTCTCCCCCATCACCCCCTTACCAGGACCCCAAGCCTCGATCAGGCTACCTGAACCACTGAGTGCACCTGGGATCCCTCCCACCTGGCTGCTCGTATCTGCCTTCTGTACTGTAAAGCCTGACACACCCTGGCCCTGTGTCGTTAGGAGAGGGAGAACAGGAGTGGGGGATGTAGTCAACAGATGAGACGTCAGTCAGTCCAGCTTCAGTCTAGGCTGTCACCTCCACTAAGGAGTCCCCCACCCAGCAGCCACCCACCCCCTTGCCCCACAAACCACCATGGCAAGGGGGAAGCCTCAAGGCCAATGCCTCAACACCAGCCCACACTTACCCGCATGCTCTGAGGCATGGGTCCCTGGGGTAATGTGCACGTCCATCTGGGAGGGAGACAGGCAGAGCCTGAGCACTCAACCACCTGTCTACCCCGTCTTTTCTCTCCCCTAGTCACCACCTTCTAATCATGCCTCTGGACTCTGACCCTTCCGGTACACCCCAAACCACCCATAGCCACTCTATTTCTATCCAAAGGCCTGCCTGTGCCCCAATCCCGCTCCAAACCTATCTACAGCTCCCTACTGCCCTCCCTGCCACACTTCTCACTACTCTTCTGCACTTTCCAGCTCAGGCCTTTATTCTTGTTGCCCCATACCATTGAAAGGCTTCTTCCAATTTCATCTGTTAATTGGGATTCTGTCAGGTCTTATTCTGATGTCCGTGTTCACCCTCTTCATGTTCTTTTCAGTAGCAAATAACTACACTTGCTCCATCCCCAGCACCCAGTTCCAACCCACCTTGAAACGCTGGGGAAGAGATCGCAGAAGCTTGACTTTGATGGACAGGCCAATAAGGGTAGCCATGCTGCAGTGAGGAATGGTGGGTGTGAAGGCCACTGCCACAGTGCTCTCAGGGTCACTCACCTGGTTGGGGGTGACATGTCAGAATTCTTGGCCCTTTCATCCCAGAGACCCTCTTCTTAGTTTGTTGCTTCAGACAAGTCTTCTAACCTCTACGGGCCTCAGTTTCCTCATCCATAAAATGGGCACAACAATCCCCTCTCCCAAAGATCCCCTGAGGAGTCCTTGAGCTAAGAGAACGGCCGCTGAACCTCTCTGACTCTCCCGAACAAGTAGCTCCCCTTGGACGCCGGGCTGACTCACCTGAACCCGAACCTGCTCTACTACGTTCAATTCTTCTAACGTCAGTGGATGCTCCGGGTCATTGATGGAGCGAATCAGATGTAGCAAGTGAAGGAAAAGGGACTCTGGCGCCTTTTCCCACTCAGAACCCTCCGCCAGGAATGCCTGGCCCCGACACAGCTCCACCGACTACTGACCATCAAGTCATCCCCCTCCCAGTGCCCCGCGGACGCGCCCGCGCCCGGCAGCGGCGGATATCGAAGATCTCGCGCGCGTCGATGCTGTCTGGAACCTGCTCGTCTTCCTCGCCCGCGGTCACCGGCCGCTCCCCCGAGCGCTCGTAAATGAGGGGGTTAGCATTCTCCAGGAGGCCACCCCCCACCCCGCCGCTGCCGCCGCCACCGCCCACCATTGCGGAACCGCTCCAGGCCACAGTCGGCGGGCACTTCCGCTGCTAACGGCGCACTTCCGGGGAACGGGAATGGGCGGGGCGACGGGGTCGCGCGAGGGACCTGCCAGGGGTTTGGAAGGGGCTGTGGGCTCCGCGCGCTCCTTTCGCGGATACGGTAAGGTGCGACAGTTCCAGCAACGGCACAGAGAAGGTGACGCTGGGCGGTGCGAACCATAGCGTGCTGGACTGAGGCTGGTCCTCGCGGCGCTGAAGACCGGTCTGAAATTGAACCTGACATATCTTCGGGCACCTTCCTCCGGGCAGTCTGCCCCGGAGGCTGAGCCGGAGCTCCGGTGCCCAGAGTTGCCTCTATCCTGGCTCAGTGCACTGCGTTTCGGAACCTCCCGAGGGCACGACTGCATCCCCCGTTGCACGTTGTGCCCGGGAGTGCCCTGCCGAGCCCCCACAGCGCGGGCGAGGCGTTCTTTAAATGTTTATATAGTGAACCTTGCCTGGTCTGGGGGAGGGTCACCGGTTTGATTCCAGGCCAGGTTCCCAGTAGGGTGTGCGCGAGAGGCAACCACACGTTACTATTTCTCTCCTCTTTTTCCCTCCCTTCCCTTCTGTAAAAGTAATAAAAATTAAAAAGTTTAAATGTTTGTTAAATGACTGGCCCCTCAGGCCTAGGACACACAATAAAGAGATGAAAAACCCTGAAGGTGGACCCAAGAGACATCCGTGAAAGCAAGGAGGAACTTTCAGGATGAAGGGCATTCACACCTCCCTGTCTTAAGGTAGTTCCCATTTCTCCATCAACATGTACCTCATCTAGGAAGCTCACCTGGGTCCCTATCTTATTTCCTTGTTGCTCCCTTACTTGACCCCGGAACACCTTTGTCAGGCCTGTGACTACAAGAACAGTGAGCTCGGGTTTGAGGAGAGGGTTCTTGGTATTGCGGAGGGGTTGTAGAAACCTCGTGGCCCCTTCAGAAGTGGCCCAAGAGCGTCTGAGCAGAGGCGGAGTGGCCATGCCGGTGCCTGCCTGCTACTGGCCTTTGCCCTCTCAGTGCCGCTCTCCTGCCAAGCCCACCTACCCATACCTACTTCCTGCCCAGTCCAAACTCTGGACTTGAAGGAGGCAGTCACTGATCCTGCGGGCGGGTGGGGAAGTAGAGTGCCCCTCTGTGAGCCAACCTTGCAGTTGGACTTTGAGCGAGGATGAGTGCAGTAGCCTGTGGATGCCTGCTTCTCTGTGAGGGTGAGGCTCCCTTGGGGGGACCAGGTCTGACTTGCCAAAGTTTGCAGATGCCGAACCTGAGGCAGAGTGGGAAGGATGAGGGAGCTTGGGGACCCTCTGCCAGACCCAGTGCAACCACCTGGGGTGAGCTCCTTGAGGTGGGTGTCTCATCCCCTCGGTGTGGCCCAGCCCCAATCTGTCAGGTGCTGGAGAGCCCACTCTTTAGGGAGGGGGGGCTCAGGGTTTCATAGCTCCAGGCCCAGCCTACCCCCAACTTGAGGCTCACCAACTACCCAGGGCTTGAAAATCTCTGACACCCAGAAGGAAATGGACAGAGACATTGAAAGCTATCCTGCAGACGACAATATTAACCATGATGGTAAGGCTCCGGGAGTCCTGCCCCAAGGGAGAAGGTCTCCTCTCCTGTCCCAAGGCAGGAGAGACCCATCACCCAGCTCTCTTATCCATCTAGTGTTCCCATGAATAAAGGCCGGCCTCACCCCAGAGGTTGGCCCCTTCCCCCCATTCTTACCGCATCCCAGGATTCGCCTCCCAAAACCTGCCCCTGCTGCCTCCCTGCCCCTGCCAGCTTGCCTAACCTGACTCTTCCTGATCCATCTGGGGTAGATGTTGCCTCCTAAGTTTGGTGACTGTTGATGGAGGAGCACATGGGAGACAGCAGGGACCCCCAGACCCTCCAAATCCAGTTCCATGAAATGATAGGGGGCTCTATCTTGGCAGTCCTTGCACTCCAAGGTGCAGATTTTCAGTGTGAGTACATCTGTAACTAAGGCCAGACCGGCAAGACGGCAGCCTTGAGCTGCAGGTTCCAGGCGAGGTGTGTTGGTGTCCAGGTCCCAACCCATGTCTGTCTGTTGGGCCTCTAGGTACCAGGTACTTGATGTCCCTCATCTTGGTAAATCTTTATGGCTAGTCCAAGACATTTCCTCCATTTTACTGATGAGAAAACTGAAATTCAGTGACTTCCTCAAGACCACACCCTAGAATGTTCCAAGACCTTAATTTGAACCCAGTCCCTTCCTTCTGCCCTTGCTCCAACCTGGGGCTTCCTCACCTTATCGTCCAGATTCCAGCTAGTTATAGACAAAGCTGTGTCATAACTGTGGGTGATACAAGGAAGCTCTAGGTAAGGGGGTGCCATGCCACGACCTGTCCACCCCATACCCTCAGGTTCCCATGCCTTGGTCTATTTCTGTGAATTCCAGCATTGGTCCAGCTTCTTCGAGGACAGCAAGCCAACCCGTGTGAGGGCAGACCATGATGATGAGATGTCCCTTGTCTTTGGAACCTCTTCCTGGAGCAACCACGGTAAGTCTTCCTAGATGGGTCCCTCAGAGGCCCCACGTTCCCAGGATGTAGGATGGGATGCTAGCTGGACCCCTGAGAGAAGGGAATTGCCCCCACTGTACAGATGAGGAAACTGAGACTCAGAGAGAGAGGCCAGGGTTAGGTGTCCAGGTGTCCTAGAAAGGCAGAGCCAGAATGGGGCCCAAGACTCTTCAGACCGGACCCTATGCTCCCTTCACCTCTCCCACCCTGACCATGGCCGTCTAGCATGGGCGTAGAGGGAGGAGTCTCAAAGGCATATTTGTTTCTTTTTTCTTCTTTTCTCCTTACCTGAGGACATACTTATTGATTTTAGGGAGAGGGGAAGGGAGGGAGAGAGGGAGAGAAACACTGATGTGAGAGAGAAACATCCCTCAGTTGCCTCTCTCACGTGACTTGTGACCAAACCTGCAACCCAGGCATGTGCCTTAACTGGGGATTGAACCGGAGACCCTTGGCTTTGCAGGATGATGCCCAACTAACTGAGCCACACCTGTCAGGGCCATCTTTGTTTCTTAAATGCCTTTTCAGTGTCAGAGGAATGATGGTCAGTGATCCTGCACCGCCCTGTCCACAGGAGCCCCAACACTGAGGGTACAGCCTATAGTGGGCCAGGCCCTGAAGGCCCACAGGTTCCAGTTATGGATGAAGACCCCACCTCAGAAAATCCAAGAGCTCATGGAAGCCAAAGAGAAGCACACAGAGCTGTAGCCCTCTGTGTCTGGGTGTGGGAGGGTGGGCTTGTGTGCAGGTGGGCTTTGCTACATGTGCCCGCACGTACCCACTGAGGAGCCAGTAGCTTATTCCCTCCTTCATATAACCATTCATTCATTCGTCCATCCATCCATCTATCCAGCAACCATTTACTGAGCATAAATAATTGAGTCCCTGTCTGGTGTGGCTCAGTTGGTCGGAATGTCATTCCATAACTAAAAGGTTGCCTGTCCGGGGTGGGGCACATGCCTAGGTTATGGGTTTGATCCCCAGTTGGGGAACATGCAAAAGGCAACTGATCAATGTTTCTCTTCCTTCCCCCTCTCTCAAATGAGAATAAAATAAACTTTAAAAAAGAATAAATAATTGACGTCAGTTGCCAATCCTGCCACAAGTCCTCTCGTGGTAGACACAGTCAATAAAAGCTGCTGCAGAGCTGTGGAAGGGCAGATTCCAACGAAGTTTTCTTCCCCAGCACCCCACTGGGCTGAGGCCCCAACCTGCCTTCCTTACCCCCACCACCTCCCCACCCTCTCTCCTCTTCCTTGGAAGGGAGTCCTTTGGGAAATGTTGCCCACACCCGGCTCTCAGCAAGCCCCCCAGGCTCTCATACCTGTAAATAACCAATAGGAAACCTGGATGCCAGGAGCCTAGAGCTCTTAGATCTCAGAACAAAGTCTACCAACTACTGAGAATGTCAAGTCTTTGTCCCCACCCAGCGCCCCCCTAAATTAAACAACACACCCACTCATTTATCTGTGTCGCAGAGGTGACCAGTTCCATTTTTTGTAAATAGTAATGGGCTTGCAGGGGCGCCTGGAGCCTGAGTCAGCTGCGCAGTGGCCAGGATAACCAAACCACGTGGATTCCTCCATCACCTGCCTCCTGAAGTTTGTCTTTATCATTAGTGGTTCCTTGGACACTCTAGGGCCCACACTTACATGATCACAGCACATCCAAGATTTTTATCTCTGGCATGTTTCCTGGAAGTAGAATTCAGGGGCCAGAAGGTCCTGGCATGTCTAGGAGACATTCTTGTCCCCTGGCTCCCAAGTGCCTCTCCATCCAGGGAGGTCTCCTTCCTGTTGGAATTCCACTTGTCAACCAACCCCACCTCATCAACTCTGCGGATCATCCCCCAACTCACTGTAGGCATGCACATGATTAGTTTTCCTACTTATCTCATTGTTTTCCCTAAACTTTTCCTCCCATCGCCCACCCTTCCCCCCAAAAAAAACATTTTCATGTTTTATTCCAGTGTTCAGTTACAAAATTATGTTCACATGGCGTCTGTTCCACCAAAGCAGTTTCTCTCTGTGACTAAGAGGCTGTATCTCTCTTCTCATAGGCCGAGGGCTCCCTCCATTCTCATAATTATGACCAACTTGCCCTTTCCATGCACTAGATTCTCCAGGAGGAAGTCCCTCCGCTGCATTGAAGTCCAACCTTAGAGCCTCTTGAAACTGGGCTTGAAGAATGAAGATTCCTGCACTGCCCACTCTGGCCACGAGAGGGCAGACAAAGATAACCTTAAACCTGGGCTGATTTGAACTTGGTGGAAAGAGCTTTCCTTACAGTGAACACTTACTAGCACGTGCTTCCCCTGCATCCTGAAAGCATATATTGTGCACCTGTGGCATGCATGTATCAGTGTGTTTTTCAGTCCTACAGATGCAAAATATACTTCCCAAAAGTGGGTTCCAAGGACTAGTTTTTAGGATTCATTTCAATAATCTTGTTTTATTTTTTTAAACAGCTTTATTGTGGAATACTAATTTACATACAGTTAAATTCACCCATTTTAAATGTACAGTTTGAAAAATTTGAGTAAAAGTGTAAGACATACAAACATCATATCAAGGTTTATTTTATTTTTTTAAAGTATATTTTGTCACTTATGCAATTATAGTTGTCCCATTTCCCCCCTTTATCCATTTCTTCATTGCACCCCACCTCCCACCAGCATTCCCCCCCTTACTTCATATCCATGGGACGTACATATAAGTTCTTTGGCTTCTCCATTTGCTATACTATTCTTAACCTCCCCCTGTCGATTTTGTTTCGACCATTTATGCTTCTTATTCCCTGTACCTTTACCCTCATTCTCTCCCATCCCCCTCCCTGCTGATAACCCTCCATGTGATCTCCATTTCTGTGATTCTGTTCCTGTTCTAGTTGTTTGCTTAGTTTTTATTTTTGTTTTTTTAAGTTCAGTTGTTGATAGTTGTGAGTTTGTTGTCATTTTACTGTTGGTATTTTTATCTTTTTCTTAGATAAGTCCCTTTAACATTTCATATAATAAGGGCTTGGTAATGATGAACTCCTTTAACTTTACCTTATCTGGAAAGCACTTTATCTGCCCTTCCATTCTAAATGATAGCTTTTTGCTGGATAGAGTAATCTTGGATGTAGGTCCTTGCCTTTCATGACTTTGAATACTTTTTTCCAGCCTTGTCTTGCCTGTAAATTTCTTTTGAGGAATCAGCTGATAGTCTTATGTGAACTCCTTTGTAGCTGTCTCCTTTTCTCTTGCTGCTTTTCGGATTCTCTCCTTATCTTTGATCTTGGATAATGTAATTATAATGTGTCTTGATGTGTTCCTCCTTGGGTCCAATTTCTTTGGGACTCTCTAGCTTCCTGGACTTCCGAGAAGTCTATTTCTTTTGCCAGATTGGGGAAGTTCTCCTTCATTGTTTTTTCAAATAAGCTTTCAATTTCTTGTTCTTCCTCTTCTCCTTCTGGTATCTCTATGATTCAGATGTTGGGGCATTTAAAGGTTCCTAAGCCTCTCCTTATTTTTTTGAATTCTGTTCTGGTTGAATGTTTATTTCTTCATTCTGTTCCAAATCATTGATTTGAGTCCTAGTTTCCTTCCCTTCATTGTTGGTTCCCTGTGTTTTTCTTTATTTCACTTTGCATAGCCTTCATTTTTTCCTCTGTTTTGTGTCTATACTCAACTATTTCTGTGAGCATCCTGATTACCAGCATTTTGAACTCTGCATCTGATAGGTTGCTATCTCCTTGTCACTTAGTTCTTTTTCTGGAGCTTTGATCTGTTATTTCATTTGGGCCATATTTCTTTGTCCCAGCACACCTGTGAAAGAGCTTTGCAAACTGCAAAGAACTGCCCACACAGAGGAGGTGTGAGAGGACCCCTTTGTTGGGAAACTACCTGCCTGGTTTCAGAAGCTGTAACCCCCTGTGGCTAAGGCTGAGTGAGCGGAGCGACCTTCAGACCATAAGCCACTAAGGAGACAAAGCTTATCTCCCTGGCAGGGGTGTTACTTCTGCTCCTTTTTCTTCACCCTGCCTGGCCCCCAATGCTTAATCAGTTAGCCAGTGATGGGTAAGATTCCCCGAGGGGAAATGACCTACACAGGCATGATCACGGGGAGGCCCCCAGGGAAGGACTTGGAGGACTATAGCAAAAGAGGGTGATGGACCTTCGCCCCTCAGCTTTGACATAGCCTGAGGCCTCATTCTGTCTGCAAGAAGTCTCCTAATTTCTTAGCTGCCTTACTTCCCCTGCCTGACTTAAGCCTGAAACAATGACAGAGGGCGGTGCAGCCCTATGCTGGAAAGGGTGGGTTCTCCGGGTGATCAGGCCTGAGAAAGAATACATAAAATCCTGTGACACCTGCTTTGCTAAGAATGCTCTGCATTAAATAAGGGCCCAAGCAGGAAATCAGTTTGTTTCCCAAAGTTTTGTAGCCCTTTAGCTAACAGACCCTGACTCAGAATGTCCTCTAGTAGTTCTTTGTATGCTATTGTTTGATTCTTACTGCCTAACAATGATTAATGAGCTTTACCTGTATTCCTGTGCAAAATGAACCTAATAAAAGCCCATTGAGGAAAAGGCTCTTGGCCCTTCTCCTTTGAGAGATTGGCCACCTTTCCTCCCCAAGCAGATCATGTCTTGGTAGACTTATTCTCATCCCCTGCGGGCAGGGACCCCCCACACCCCTTGGCCCCACTGGCTGCCTCCATGCCCAAAAGGGCCACAATTACAGCCACTCCTGTGTGCCCAGAGATTGCTTATGTGAGACCTGCAAAGACCTGAAACGAGGGCAGACAGGTGTTTTGGCCACCTGCAGCTGTGGGTGTGAGGCTGTGCTCCATCACACCGATTCCGAATGCTATTCCAATGACCAGCTGCATCAAAATTTTCTCATACAACCATGAGATTCTCATTCAGAGGGTGTAGGGTGGGGCCCAGGAATCTATATTTTTGCAATGATTTCCCCCAGATGATTTTGATGCACAACCAAGTTCAATAAGACTTGGATCAGATCTGCTTTTTGTCACTTTGCAGAGTAAGCCTCAGGGGGCCAGGGCACAGAACAATTCAGTTTTGATGAGGAAGGAGGGGAAGAAATGACCAGGGTTTTTCAGGGAGGATAACAGATGTGAGGCCTCAGCAATGCTTGGCAACAGAGTGGGGCAAGATGAGAGCCTGTTAGAGGAAGACGTGCCCTTCAGCAGACAGCACTTGGCCTAGTTTGCATCTGTTCCAAGAGGTAGCTATCATGTAGGTATGCCTGCTGTCTGTGTGTGTGTGTTTGTGTGTATAATATGTGAATATATGCGAAATATGGGGACACTGTAACCTATGTCTAGTTATACTTACCCATATTTTTCAGACCATAAGATGCACCTAGGTTTTAAAGAAGAAAAATAGGGAAAAAATTTTTGAAGCAAAAAATGTGCTAAAATATTTAATAACATAAATAACATAATATTTCACCAATGTAAATGTAAAGCTACATTCAGACTATAAGATACACCCCCATTTTCTCCCCGAGTTTGAGGGGTGCGTCTTATAGTCTGAAAAATATGGTATGTGCATATATAGTTATGCATATGGGCATGCATTTAACTCTTGTGTTTCTACATGTTTATTTGTAAATGAGCTGTGCTCATTTATAATTATGTATGTAGTAAATTTGCATGTACATGTGAATATTATACACTCACACATGTGAGTGTGTATATGAGTGAGAATGCATACAGGGGTGAGCAAAAGTAGGTTAAATTACCAGCCATCATTACTTGAAAGATAATCATAAGGATATGAAATAACAATAAGGAAAAGACAAATAGTACAAGTAAATAATATAATAATCAATAAATAATAATACGAGAATAAACTTTAGTGTACTCACAACGGTAAACCTACTTTTGCCTGCCCCAGTACATGTGTGTGATTTCTCCCCAGAAATAGGCCAGGCTAATATTTGCAACAACAAAGAGGGATAGTCATATCAATATCAGACAAAGGAAAATCAAAAATAAATGACATACCTATGGATATTAAATGATACATTAAATGACACAAATAGAAACAATTCCTATAACAGACCTAACTTTTATGCACCTACCAACACAGCTTTGGTAAACCCAATAAATGAGAGAGAAAAACCCTGAGAGCGACACAGAAAAAGTGG